GAGGGCAAGGGAAGGGGAAAAAAATAAGAACCAAGAGACTCATGTAATGGTACAAGATCCCAATGATGAATGTAACTGTATTTTATACCTAAAAAGTTAATGGGAAAAAAAAAATACATCTTGAAAATGAGGTTAAATTTGTGTATTAGGGAAGCTAACTCCTTGACTCTTTCTTCCTATTAATTCTTTATAAAATAAAAGGCCTCCTAAAATACCAAGTATTAGAGAAGATGTGGAGAACCCAACTCTCATACATGCTAGTTCGGGAAGAGATTGGTCAACTACTTTGGAAAGTTATTCTACAGCATCTACTAAGCTGTGACCCAGCAATACACTTTTAGGTATCATCCTGATTCAAATGTAGAAATCATCACCAAAAATATATTATTTTTGAATTTTTTTAATATAACCACAATATTCTTAGCTTTTTTCCATCCAAAGGTGGAGTCTTTTTCCCAACCTCTCAAATATGGTTTAGCCATGTGGCTGTAACAGTTTGTAAATTCTAGAGCCTTGACCTCAAGATACGTCCCAGCTTTTGTCTTTGTCCTCTTGGAACAGTGCTCTGAGAATGCCATGTAGGAAAGCCCATCTATCCAACTAAAGAATAAGAAGATACCATACGGAAGAGCTGCAAGATGCCTCCACTGAAAGCCATGGCAGACACAAGTGAAACCATCTTGAGCCTTTCATTCCAGCTGGGGACAGTTGCATAATGGATGCACAAAGAACCAACAAAGGAATTGCCAAGGCAACTCACAGGATTGTAAGAAATAATGCATTGTTGTTGGCTTTTGTCACTGTTTTACACACAGAAATAGATAATGGATACAATCATATTCTAGAATGTTTGTAACAGCACTATTCCTAACAGTCCCTAACTGGAAAGTACTCAAAATTTCCATCCATATTTGAAGAGACAAGTAAACTATGGTAGAGTCACACAATAGAATAGGATACTCCTCACTAATGACAACAAACAATCTACAGCCACACATAAGAACTTTGATTAGTTGAGTGAAAGACAATGGAAACAAAGTTCACAGAGCTGAAAAAGTAGATGAAACTATCCAATATTGTTAGAAGTCAAAATAGTGGTTTCCCTTGTGGAGAAAGTGACTGGACTTGAACACAGACAGGGACCTGGGGTGCTAAAAATGTTCAGGTTCATAACCTGTGTAGTAGAGGCAGGAGTAAATTCAAGTTGTAAAATTCATCAAACTGTGGATTTATTTTGTGTGCACTCCACTGCTTGCATGTAATACTTCAATAAAATGTTTAAAACATGTACCCTGTAGATGAACTACTAGATTGGGGAGCTGAAGGTGGGACATGCCTTCCATGTCAACTTATAGTTACATGGATTTAAATTCTCTGAAAATTAATTCCACCAGTGCACCTTAAAATCATTTTATTGAGTTCTTTTAAAGGAGTTCTAGTTACAGTTGCCTTAAAATGTAGGTAATATATTTCTTAGGGATTAGCTAGAAATATGATATCAGATCAAATTGGAAATTGCAATCTCTCTGTCCTTGAATTTTTCCTACACATCTTTGATAAATAAAGTACTGTTCAGTCAATAGAAGGGTATTCGGTATCTACTATATCTTGAGTTCCAATCCCTGAGAATGTATCTATGTATCTATGCCATAGTCTCTGGAAAAGATGGGCATGTTAGCTAGTCTCGTGGAATGTATATTCCAAGGCAATCTACTTCAACTTAACCAGTTACAGGGAACTCATAATTTCATAGAGGGTTTATTCTACCCCTGGTAACTTGATTGTTAGAATGGTTTTCTCATATTAAAGCAAAATCCCTCCCTATAGCTTCCAGTTTGGTTTCTGAAGTAACAGAATAAACTTTCATGTCTCCTGAGCCTCTTTCTTCTACATTAAATAGCTGGGGTCCTTTCATTATATTTTGTGTGATACTGTTTCAAAGTTCTCCACTTTCTGATTACCCTCTTGGGATAAGCTCCAAGTTGGCAAGATTTTTATTAAAGTATTGGACACAAAGCCAGACACAATATTTTAGGTGAGACTGTGTTAACTATTGATGCTTTTGGGTAATGCTGTGGTTGGGGTCCAAAGTGGGCTCCAAAAGTCTCATTGTATTGAAGTCTTAATTGCCTGCTGATGAACTTTTGGGAAATAATTAGCTCTGAGTTCATCAAGAGAATTAATCCATTGCTGGGGCATAATTTGATGTATTTTTAGAAAATGGTAGAAACTGTATTTGCTTAGTTAGAGGAAGTAGGTCTCTAGGGAGTGTGTCCCTAAGGGCCATATCTTGTGCTGGCCCCTTTCCCTCTGGCTTTCCCTCTCTCTCTCTCTCTGTTTCCTGGGTGCCATGAGGTGAGCAGCTTTCCTCTTCCATGACCTTTTTCCATGATATTTCTGTCTCAGCACAAGTCTAAAAGCAATAGAGTCATCTAACCATGGACTAAAACTGTGAACCAAAATAAATCTTTCCCTTTTAAGTTCTTTTTCTCATCATTTTGTCACAGTAACAAATGCTGACTAACATGGGCAGAATAATTCTTTGTTGTGGGCCTGTCATGTGCATCATAGAATGTGTAACAGCATCACTGGCTTCTACCTACTAGATGCAAGAAGCCTTAGTTGTGACAATCAAAAATGTCTCCAAACATTTTCAAATGCCTCTTGGGACACCATAGTTAAGAACCAGTTACCTAGAAAAGCATGAATAGTTTTAATCTGGATGTTCTACATCTACTCTTAAACTACAAATTTACCAATATTGCATCGCTTCTTGGGCACTATTTACAAGTTAATCTTGCCTGCAAGTGTATTAATATATGTATATGAATATATATGTAATATATATATGGAATAAAAGAGCAATCACTCAGAGAAAAGCAAAATTTGTGTTGCTCCCCTACAAAGCAGAAATTCACTCTATAAAATACTACTCTATAAAATAAGTTGATGGTTTTATTTTATATCCCTCTCTCTTTCAGAATGGAACTACAATAGTGGAATTAAACAAACAAAAATTGAATCCTGTCTTAGTTATTTTTCTCACTGCTGAGACAAAATACCAGACACCCACAAGTTAAAAGAAGAAAGGTATATTTTGGCTCACAGTTTGTAGAGGTTTCAGTCCACAGTTGGCAGGCTTCAAGGCCAGGTAGCATGACAGAAGAGCATCATGGAAGAGAAACAGTCCATGGCAGAGCAGGCAGGAGGGACCAAACAGTGAGCCTTCTGGATTTTTATCCCATCCAGGCTATAAACCTATTGGATGGTGCCACCCACACCTAGGGTGGACCTTCCCATTACCCACACCCAGAACTCTGCTAAGCAAATCAGTGGACTAATTTAGTTATCACACACCCTTAAACCCATACTCATATACCCTATATCCAGCCACCTCTGAAAAGCCCCACCTATGAGCACATGAGACTTGGTGGGGGGTGGGGGGACATCTAGATACAACCTATAACAAGTCCTCAGGGATTGGGGTTATAGCTCAGTGAGAGAGCACTTGCCTAGCACTCTCAAAGCCCTGAATTCAATTCCTAGCACCAAAAAAAGAAAATCTATATAACCAAATAAAAGGGAAGCAGAGTCCAGAAACAAAATAAGTATAAGTTTAATTCTACACTGACTCCATCTCCCATCCCATTATGTTTGGGCCATCAAAAACAGTATATGAGAAAAGAAATCTTGAAAACAATCCAGATCTTAAAATCCTCTAAAGTATTTCAAGTTAGAATCAAAACTCTGGTCTTCATCCCATGCTGAATAAGCATATCTTATAAATGAATGAGTCACAGTGTTGTGTGTAAAAAGCACATCCTGAAAAATTAAGCAGGCAGTGTGGTATTACCATGGAATCCAAGGATTCATCACACTAGTTTGGTTTAGTGGCTCAACTTTTAAAATGGGCAATAGATTGGACCTTGGCTACTTTTTGAATTCTAGAAATTCAAATTTGTTGTTAGTTTAACACTTGTCTGTTAGTACATACAGTACTAGAATTCTCTATAAAATGAGATTAGTTTCTCATCAAATTACACTTCCAGAATAGAGCAGCGAAAGCACTTAGCACAAAGGTAAACAAAGTTATCTGGTCATTTTTTCCCCTTCCTATAGTCAATGCTCTTTGAGTTTTCCCACTCACTTTGGAGTATTTTCATTTTTATGTGCATAACTAGAGGAATTCCTGAAAGCTTGGGGTGGGAAGTGGGCGGTGAAAGGCTGATGGTTGAGTCTTTTGTTTGGTTTTTATTGTGCATGACTAAATGTATTAGACATGTTAGATCACAGAGAATATGCATCCATGAATCACAGTGCAGTTGAATTTGCATTTCGCCTACTAATATCAGTTGCCCTTTCCAGCTACAAAAGGCCTTCTTGCTAACATGATGTCTGAGTCACTTTAATAAAATTACACACAGAGAATGCTCTGTGAGTCTCCTGTAAGAAACAATAGGTCCATCCCAAAACCTTTATAGATAATGAATTTCCATGATATTTTTTTCTTCAAAAATCAAATAAGAAAAAAACAGAGATGGGGAAATAGGAAGTACGCCACAGGAAAAGTGATGAACATCATAGGTTTTAGAAACTACTCTTCACAGCACACTACAAACTAAAATTAATCTTTCAACAAAAATACACTGAGCCTCTGCTTTGCGGAAGCGGTTTCGCTTGACTTGGTCGTGCTCCCTCTTAAGTTAGAAAACTACTGAGAGAAAGGACAGACCAGATACAGGTTGTTTTTTATTCTTTTGTGGATGCAATAGTAATAAAGTACTGCACTGGACTACTACTAAACACCAGGGGGAAAAATCTGAACGTCAAAAGGTTTTCATCAGCTTTATTGTCATTCCTTGGGAGAAGAAAAATGAGATTTACTTAATCACAGAAGTATGACAAATTTCTTTCTTCAAATCTCAAAATGTTTTTTCAGTGAAGATTTTCAACTGAGAGAGATTATTATTTGAGGGAGGGGAGGAGGGGATCCCTGAAAACGTCTTTGCTCCATGTTTGAAAATCTCTCACCAAGAGGATTACTGTTAGCTTTATTGCTGTCACAAAGCTAGGTACTTTGTATTTAAAACAAAGGTAACGTGGATCTTGAGTGAGAAGTCTGACTGTGCTCCTGGCTGCCTCACTACTATATAATCTTGAATAAGTCATTTCGTTTCTTTGTGCCTTGGATTCCTCATTGGCAAAAGGAGAACGGTGAGCTAGATAATCTGTAAGGCCCCAACAGCTCAAAGAAATCTTAAGATTAAATTTGTTCCTGCCTGCCAGCCAAATATCATTCTGAGAAAACATATTTGCTCCACTGAATGGCTGTTTCCCCATATACGTAATTGACGATATTTTATACCTGAAGTTACAATTTCATCACTTACCTACCCCATATCATTTAAGGTCCCCTCATTCTGCTTTGAAGTTCAAAGAAAGAGAAGATTCTGTATAATGAGAATGGCCCCTTTGAAATGCTCCCTTCGCAGCTGCAAGCTCTGTGGATCCTGCACTGTACCGAGGAGAGGAGGCTATTGTGATGCAGATGTGTTCCAAAGTGCATCTGCAGGGAGAACATTTCCATGGGTCTTTACTGTATTTCTTCTATTATTCATAGAACACAATGTAAATGAAGCCATAAATTTTACCCCCCACACTAGATGTAGAAAGAAGATAATGGAAATTGTGAATTATGAATGAATCACTGTTATTGTAATTCCTTAAGGATTCTGATGGAGATGATTAAATTCATCCAAAGACATAGATTCTAAACTTTTATGCCTGAGTTCTTAGTAATGCCTTTTAGAATTTCACAAAAAAATGGAATAGTGATAATCTTGATTTCACACTTACCTGCCAAATAATCTTACAGATAATCTATCTAAACCTGGACAGATCATCTTATTGATGATAAAGAATTCATTTCTGGGGGAGGAGACAAGTTGCAAAATGTCTGTGTCTCCCAGCTATTCAGACATTTTACTTAAGATCCTAAATACAAACCAGTTGAAGCTTTCAATGCTGAATCCTAAGAATTTATTCTCTCTTTTAGAAAACTAAAGGGAGAAAGAGAAAAATAAGTAGCAAACAATCTTTCTTTAAAACATGACCCAGAAGTCTAATAAAGTCAAAGATGAAGATTTTTTTCACTTCTAAATTTTTTTTGATAACAAGAATTCTGGTCAACAATTATGCTCTCAAGCATGATACACAATTCTTGTAAATAATGACAGTAGACCATGAGACTCAAGCCATTCTGGTTTTGATAATGATAAAAAGTGATTAGAAGTACTTCACTGATCTGAGACAAAGCCTCTGGAAAATTTCAACCTTAATCCACTTTAGTCTTGTGCCAGGCTTTTAGAAGGTTATAGCCCCCAAAATGAGATTTGAGATGATATTTAACAGTTCAAGTGTCATTCCGGAAAGAGTTCTCTTCTGCAGAACCCCAAAATAGATTTTTAACATTTTTATATAACCAAATATGCATAGATAGATAAAGATATAGGCACATGCAGACTTCTGTTCAGTAACTGCTTTCTACTCTCAGACATGAAATAATTTAAAATTTAGAATATAAGTGATTATTCAGGTAGGAGTGAGAGATTCTCCATAAAAGATGTTAATATTCATCAAAATATAAGTGATGCAAGATGAGCTAGGAGTTTTCTGGCAGCCAAATTCACTTTCCTGAGCCTCAATATCCTTACCTGCAAAATGAAATATCTAGGCTAGATGATCTCTAAGGCAATGTCCAAATTTAACCTCTTCAGTTCTTGAGGAGGCAAGATGAGATGCAAACATTCTTACTTTACCATTAACAGGGCCTGGCCCATGAGGGCTTGTGTGTGTCCTGGAAACATGATGAGAGGTTTCTGCCTAGGGTAGAGTCTGGGAGCACAAACAAAGTCACTGTAGCTGGCCAAGAAAAATCTTTGCCAATTACCAGAGATAAGGACCACTAATGATCTAAAGTTGCTGTTTGCCCAGCTCTTAGGAGCTGCAACTCATGATGCTCGTGGACTAGGATGCTCAAATGGAGGGCAAGTAGAGTCTTAGAGAAACTCCCATCTGGTCCATATGTGCCCTCCAGGTCTGTTTCCCTCAGCCCAGGCCCTATCTACCTCCCTCCTTCCCCCTAAGCTCCTGACACCTTTAGAAAATCAGTGACCATCCAGTTAGGAACTTAAGCCAAGTTCAGGGCATTTAATATGGAGAAAAAGCTACACAGTTGTTAGAAAAGCTACAAGCATCATCAGGGGACAATGCAGTAACCCAGAGAGCTTCAGGAAGTAGCTACCACCCTACAGCTGGAGAGACAAAGGGCACAGCAACAGTTCCCAGAACCCAGATGCTTGCTACAAACAAGGGCTAGAAAGAGGTGCTGCCCACTGGAAATTAGAACCATAGAGGTGATGCAGCTACTGTCAGAAATGCCATCAAAAATATTGAAAGGTGGGAGAAATACCCTGATGTCTCCCTCCTCTCACCCTTGGATAGTGTCTACACATCTACACCTTGCCTTCGACAAAACTTGCCAGAGGCCAGCAGGGCAAGAGAGCCTGAAGAATGGCATATGCAAAATCAACCCTGCAAGACAAGCCAGAGCAGTGGAAGGGCGAGAATGTTGGGGAAGACAGCAGACAATGACCCACACCCCTGGGAAATCTCCTTTAGCATAAGGAGCTATGCATGTTTCCTGTGGGCAATTCAAGTCCTTCCTATTCCTCTGAGACTGGGCTTTTGGAATTCCAAACCAAGGAAACATTTTGGTATCAGAATTGCTGCTAAGGCAATAAATGTGGAAGTTCAGGCTGACTGAAAGGAGAGGAACCAAGACCTGGAGGGAGAGACAAGAAACTTAAAGTACATAGTAGTTTCAACACACCCCACCATTGCTTTGTCCTCTCCACGCTCACCATCACTTCTCTAATGGCAGGACTTTGTTGCCTGTTACTTTAGCCTCCTAACCAAGCTTCCCATACTGCCTCCCTGCTTTGAAATTCATAAAGAAAAAGTCACATCAACCTTACCCAAAATGGTTTTATTTAACAAATGTCAAAGCAGACAAATATTTCTCATCAGTCATATGACACACTCTTCAGCTAGCACTCTGAGCATCACACTTAACCCATTTGATAGCATCCAGAGACAAATGCATATGACTCATTCTTCAAATGGAGCCAGGCAGAAGCCCCATCCCACCTTTATTTGGAAGGATGGCCTCTCACAGACAAAGAAAGAAGCACCAAGACTTAATGGGCCTCCACATTATCTGCCTGCTAGCCTGCCGTGGTTACTAAATTATTTGCATAGATTCATCCTTTTAAGATTCACATACATAGTCCCCAAGTAGTGCCTATTAAGTAGAACTTTTTATTTAAGTGGCATATTGAAGCCACATCAAGGGAGAAAGTAGTTGATAAGGATGAAATGAACATCCTTGTAACCTATAGGATTTAGGTTTGGGAATAGCTCCTTCAATTAAAGTAATTCTTTTCAAGTACAATTTGCAAAATGTAATTTTTATGTCTGACTCTTCCCAAAGTCTTTTACCATTATATAAAATTTCCATAATTACTTTCTGAAAGGAAAATTTCCTTTTCCAAAGTCTATGAGTTTCCAAAATATTCCTGATTCCTTCCTCAGTCCCACAGTCCTTAAAGTAAGATAAAGCAAAAGTTCAGTTGCTACAGAAACCTTAAATCAGTGAAAAGGCTTATAGGTATTTACCTAAACACCTAAAGTGTTAAAATATGTGTGGAAAGGACAAAGAATTGGAGGAAGAGTTTCCCAAGGACAACACCTCCTCAAAACCATCTCAGAGTGTTTCCTCACCTATTTCCAACTTTCCTCTTGGAGATCCTGATTCCCTAGGCCTGGAGCAGACCCAGGAGGCATCATCATAAACTTCCCCAGGTGATGCCAATGAGCACACATTTGGGCTCCCACTAATCTTCCTTCCAGCTTTGATGTCCCAGTGGTCCCAGTCTTTCAATAAGCAAGGAGCATTTGCCCCCAGAGACCCCTACTTTTTAAGGGGACATCAAAATACATGAGTTCAGGCTGGGGATTTAGTTCAGTGGCACCACATCTGCCTCACAAGCACAAGGTCATGAGTTTGATCCCCATACCAAAAATAAAAATAAAAACAAAAACAAAAGACAAGGGTTCTACCTTTACAGGTCTGTTCTTGGTGGTTCTTAACAGTAATAGCAACAGCTATGGTGCACTGGATGCTTTCTACTTACAGTCAAGCTCTCAGTAACACAACATACACACACATACACACACACACACACACACACACACGATTGAGCTACAGACTTTTCAAACACCACCTGAATTCTTACAGTAACCTGCCTAGGTAGATCTAATAACCTCCCTTCCACTGATGAAGCAACCTAGCTTGGAGAGGTTGAGAAACTCATCCCAACTCCCCTAGCTTGTGTGGGATGTAAGCTGGATTTGAACTCACAGCTGCTGGTTTCAAAGCCATAGGATTAATCATCATGCTGCCCATCTGCTGTAACAAAAGGCATGGGATTACTATTTATAGAGGTAGTGAGGACTCAAACCCCAAATCCTAACCAATCCTTCCAACCACAAAGTATGCAAAGACACACCAAAGGGCAAGCATGGCCATTTCTTTTTGAGGCATTAGTCAAAACAGTCCAAAAGTGAAAACATAAAAATAAATAAATAAATAAATAAATAAATAAAATAAAAATTAAAAAGTGGAAACAACTCAAATATTCTTCAACAGATAAATGGATAAGCAAAAGGTGCATGTATGAACAATGGAATATATTATTCAGCCCTAGAAAAGAATGAAATCCTGATACATGCTACAACACAGTTGAGTCTTAAAAACCTTGTGCTAAATGAAATAAGTCAGTTACAAAAGAAAAACTATTATATAAGTCCACTTAGACACTTATAAAGTACCTAGAATAGGTACTTAGAATAGGTAAATACACCACAACTACAACCAATGTGGGTTAATCCTACGCCTGTAATGCCAGCACTTGGGAGGCTGAAGCAGGTGAATCACCACAAGTTCAAGCCTATCCTGGGCTACATAGTGAGTTCCATGCCAGTCTGAACTACAAACAAGGCCATGAATCAAAACGCAAAAGAAAAAATCCTGGAAATATACGAATGTTTTCATATTAGAAATTCCATGAGTTAAAAAAGACAAATTTTTAAAAGACTCTAAATACTGTTACTGAGCCCCAAGTTATTTCCTATGTTAATGATTGCCAATCAGCTCTGCTGCCATAAAGCGAGGTGTCAGGATCTCACTGTAAAGTGGCACCAGATGAGAGTCATTTGTAGAGTTTTATACTCTTTTATTTTACATTTTTCTTCTGTTTGCCCAGAAAAAAAAATCAATTTAGTAAACACATGAACTGTCTTTTAAAATGTGATTTATGGGGCTATTTAAATAATTATCATTGGAAGTCCCCCACTGCCCCATAGCACTTTCTGTTCACTAGTCCTCAAGACTTCAAATTACAAATGTTCAGCCAAGTAAACTTTCTAACCTACAATAGATTTCATTTTTTTCTTCATCACAAACAGTGTGGTGTTCCCCACACACCTGTAACAGGGCTTTAATGGAGCAGCTCTCTATAGTTTTGAAGGTGGAGAGATGATAGAGTAACCGATAAAATCACGAGCAGTATGGGTCTGCAGAGGGACATTCAACACATTGTAGGAGGCCAAGGTCTGGGACACTTAAGCTTTTTAAGTGTCAAAGGGGTAAACAAAGAACAAACAAAAATAAAATGGTTTACTAAACGTACAGAGGTATAATACATTTTCTGACATTGTTCAGACTGTGTATGTGAACACTGGAAAGGCTTTAGGTAAATCTGTGGGTGACATCTCCATTCTCAAATTTTGAATAAATGCTTGATAGCTGTTACTTATATGTCATTTGAATTTAAGTAATTTAGAATTAATTATATTTTTTGAGAGAAATTCTTCCTTCTTACGCAGAACTACAATATGAAGGAAGACTAGACTAATTTACAGATCAGACAGCATAATGAGATATGGACATAAAAGGAGTCTTTGAGTCACTTGAAGTTACCAACTGGGAAAATCATCTGAGTCTGACCACAGTACATCCAGACCTTGGTGTTCTTGCCAAAGAGCAAACCCTGTCCCATTCCATTCACTCAGCTCCAGTCACACTGGCCTCCTCTCCAGTTCTAATATTCAAATTCCTTTCTGCCTGGGGACCTTTGTATATGCTGTTCCCTCTGCCTAGAATGATCTCCCTAGAGAAATCTGCATATTCACTAACTGGTCTTTCCGATGTCTACTTTAATGGTTCTTCTTCCAGGTGCCTCCCATGACTTCAGATCAGCCATGCCCCTGTGTTATGGACTGCTGTGGTTTGAATGTGGGTTGTCCTCACCAAAACAACGTTGAGGTTTTATTTCCCAAGGTAATGGCATCAAAAGGTGGTAGGACCTTTAAGAGGTAGATCCCAGTGGGTAGTGACTGGGTTATGAGCACCCTCTGTGAAAGGCTTACTGCTGGTCTCTTGGGGAATTCATCCCCATGAGAGGAGTTGTTATAAAAGAGCGAGTCTGGCCCATCTCACTTTCTTGCTTTCTCTATTTCCATGTGACACTTGACCCTCACTCTTCCCTCCAACTATGTGATATGATCTACCATAAGGCCCTCATCAGAACCCAGTGGTGGCACTATGTCCTTGGACTTCTATAAATGTAAGCCTCTTCTTATGAAGTATCCAGCCTCAGTTAGCTTTGTATCGCAACATGAAACAGACCAAGACACCCTGGATTCACCCTGTACTTCTCCCTTAGCAGCCTTCCTCACAATTGAAATTAGTAGCCTAGGGAATCATATCTGTTCCACTCAACCCTAAACTCCACAGAATTGGCTGTGTATTTATCAGAACTAGCTACAAATATGGTAGGATCCAGTGCAAAATGAAAATATGGATTCTTTTTGTTTAAATATTAAGAATTTTAAGACAGTGACAATAGAACATTGGGCCCCTCCTATATATGTGGCTTTGGGCAACTGTGCAGGTCATATGCCCATGAAAACAGCTTTGGTATTATTCACTGCTACCTCTGCAGCTCCTAGCCCCAGGCTCGGCACACAGCAAGTGCCAAATAAATATTTATTTATAAGTAGATAGAATACAAGAATTCTCTGATATTTGGCTCTTCCATCATTCCACCCATCTCCCATCATTTCAAGCCAAAAAATGTGATTCCTGCTATGGTTATTCCTTCACAGTCGGCTTTGCATGTCTTTCTTTAAAGGTCAGAACCTTCCTTGGCAGCTTCATCCAGAGCCACTAAGATTGAGATTTCTCAGAAATTGCAGCTGAGAAATGTGTTTTTGTGTTTCCTTAAAGGAGACTCCCATACATCCTTTGGTGAACTGTTCTTGAAGAGGAGGGAAAAATCAATGCCTTCAGATAGCATTACCTTGCCCTGAATAATCCTAAAGCTGCCATGACTTACTGTAGAGAGTATAATTGAAGTGAGGATAAACTGCACACCATTTCAAAGTCTACTAAATTGAAACCGTTCTTTTTGTTGACACATACTTGGGAAGCTGTAGATAATGTGATTTAAAATAAATACACTGGCCCAGTATACTTATATAATTGAAATAAATATGGAATAACCCATAGAGTCCACAGACAGTTGGGTAAATTAACCCTTTGTGTACTAGGTGACAAGACACCTACCTAAAAAGGGAAACGTGACACCGAGAAGATATTGGGAAGGAGAAAAGAATACACATCCTCAAATGAGATGGACACTTTCCAATACTGAGTTTTTAGAGACTTGGCCTGAGGTGTATAAAAAATATTCTGCCACGTGATGAATCTTCTCTTGACTCACACCAATACAATCTGTTGAGTCAATATTAAGGACTCCTGATGCCTCAGGACAATGACTGCAGTGACTTAGAGGCAGAGAGATCACACACAAAGAATCAGCTCTCCTTCCTCTCATGGTTTCTAAAGAATGAAAAGCAATATCCCAAAAGCTGTGTTAAAATGGTTTCATCTGAGACCTTTTAAGCAATGTTTGAATGTATATGTGGTGTCATCGAAAAATACGGTGAATATTTAAATTAAAATTTTTTATTTCAAAAAGAATTAAGATATATTATGTACAAGTACAAATTCCCTATGATAAATGTGATCATTATGTATGTCAAAAGTGTACCAATACAATTATTTTTAAAATTTATTTCAGTAAAAGATAATCATTAATCCTACTTAGAACACTCTCCCTCACTTTAAACACACTTATTTCATCATTTTTGTCACTTTCTGAAGCAGTTCTGAAAGTCCTCTCTCATGAGTGTCTTCATTTGCACTGCCATGGCTGCCTCAATGTCCTGAAGAGATTCAAAACATTTACCATTCATGGTCATTTTGACTTTGAGGAAGAGCCAGAAGTCACACAGTGACAGATTCTGAGTATAAGATGGATGAGGACACACAACAGTGGTTTTTACAAGCCTTTTTCCACTGGATGGTACTGGGGAGCAGCGTTCACTATGTTTTTGACCACACCTCATAAAGACACCCACAGAAGAGAAATTCCAGAACTGCTCCTGAAAAATGGCAAGAATCCTGGGTGCGATTAAAGCAAGAGGGGAGTATTTTGAGGAGGGTTAATGGCAATGTGTCTTCTATTGTATAATTTTTAATTTAAACATTCATCATATATTTTGATCATCCCTTGAACTTCTCAGTCTGGATGTACAGAAGACCCAAGGGTTGAGTACCTACCATTTAGGCTTCATGAGAGAAGCAATACGACCATGAATGATAGTACAGATCCTTCTTAAGGTTTAGGTCAACAGTGATGATAGGAGCCAGTTAGTGCTCTGTGAAGGTCTGTGGCTCGCAGGTCTGGTCCTGAAGTCAGTGTATCTGATCAGTTAGAAAGGAAGTGAAGCATGAACTGAGAATGAATAAGAACAAAATGGAACCAGAAGAGCATTCTGAAAGGATAAAGAATTGGAGCTGGTGTTCGGCTCTCACAGGAACCCACAGGTCTTACCACCTCTAAGCCTCCACCATCGTTGATTTGGATGACCTGATTTGGAGCTGGTCCCCTTCACCATGGGTCACCCGAGAGCTTGATCCAGGATTCCTGAAACCTGGTGGGAGTTGGAAGAGCTGTGGGCCCCACCGCCAGCCACACCCACTGTAGAAGCCAGCATGGGGGCAATATCACCTGACTCCGTGCCAATCGTCAAGCAGAAGAGGGTAGTCACTTCACTTCCATCCACCAGCTTCAACACAAGTTTTTCTCAATACCAAGCCTAATTCAGGACAGTGCAGGTAAAGGAATTCTGGAAAATATAGCTCCAGCTTAGCTAAAAGGAAAAATACAAAGTCCCAGTGGACAATAAATTAGCAGACCACCAAAAACATGTCTCATCAGAGCTCTTCTGAATCATCTTTGAACACAAAACTTTTCAGTCAGGATATACACTAATACCTAAGAGAATATGACTGAAATTAGACACAGGCCTCATCTGGGTAGAACAGTAGTTTCCCTCCAATGGGTATTTGGTAATGTCTCCAGACATCTGAGGATGTCATAACTGGGATGTGCTATAGATATCTAGTAGTTAGAGCCAAAGGATGCTACTAAACATCCCATTGTGCACAGGACAGCCACTCACTACAAACAAATGTACAGACCAAAATATAAATAATGCTGAGATTGCAAAATTTGCTCATCAGAAAAGGTGTACACAACAGCCTACAGTCCTGTGGTTCCTAAAAAACCCAGAAAAGACTCATAATATGGGCCATAACATGTCATTTAAGAGAAGCTTGAGTGTAAGACAGAGAGCATATCATGTTGAAGATGAGCCGGTAGCAGTGACAGAGCCAAAATCAGAGCCAGAACCTGAGGAGAGAGTCTTCCAGGAGAAAGTGTATCTTCATACCTCACCACACCTGAAAGCAGAACCTGATCCAACTGCAGAGATGGCAGCTCAATCATTGCCTTTCTCCTCTAGGGCAGTTTCCAACTGGGAGCTGGAAGCCTGGTATGAGGACCTGCAGGAAGTCCTGTCCTCAGATGAAAACAGGGGTAACTATATCTCACCCCCTGGAAACGAAGAGGAAGAATCAAAAACATTCATCACTCTTGACCCTGCATCTCTTGCTTGGCTGACTGAGGAACCAGGACCACCAGAGATCACAAGCACCTCCCACAGCCCTCGCTCTCCAGATTCCAGTAAGAGCTCCCTAGCTCAGGAGGAAGAGGAAGGCCAAGGAAGAACCAGGAAATGAAAACAGAGTGGCCAGTGGCCAGTCCTGGCTGGAAAACAAAGAGTGAAGGAAAAAGAACAAGAGAATGAAAGGAAAGTGGCACAGCTAACAGAAGAGAATGAACGGCTCAAGCAGGAAATTGAGTGCCTGACCAGGGAAGTAGAGGCAACGCACCGAGCTCTGATTGACCGAATGGTTAATCTGCATCAAGCATGAACAAATGAGGCCATCACTCCCCAGCTCTGGCTACCACCTACCTTTCCCAGAAGTAGCTATTGACCACCTTCATACCAGTGCCAATGATGTGACCCTCAAAGCCTTGGGGTAGACAAAAGGAAAGGGTCTCAGCTTATATATAGAGGGTGTACATTTATTTATTATTGTCTGCATCCATTAAAGTGACTTTTGTAACCTTAAAAAAAATGTCATTTAAAACTCCATACTAATTAAAAACAACAGATTTTTCATTTGTTTGTTACAGTACGGGAATTGGACCTGGGGTTGTCTCACCAACCTACATCATCAGCCCTTTTTACTTTTTATATTGAGGAGACAAGATCTCACTAGGTAACTAAGTTGCCTAGATAAGATTCAAACTTGTGATCTTCCTGCTTCAGCCTCCCAAATTCTAGAATTACAAATGAGTACTACCATGCCTAGGTAAAATTAGAGAATCTTATTGTTAAAAGAAACAATATAGGCAGGAGCAGTGGTACACACCTGTAATTCCAACACTCTTGAGTAGAAGACTACAAATTGAAGCCCCGCGTGAGTAATTTAATGACTTAGCAAGACCCTGTCTCAAAATTTAAAAAGGCAAGGGTTGTAGCTCAGTGAGAAGACCCTAGATTCAATCCCCAGCATACCATAAAAATTGATTAATTAAAATGAAGTGAATCAGTACATACAAGCACAGTTATTAGAGGTCTTAAAAAAGAAGATTACTCAATAGATAGCATATACAGGGTAATCTAGAAAAGGGCAAGACTGAATAAGTCCATGCAGCTCCCTCTTTTGAGAGGACAGCTTCTTTCTATAGCCAGAGAAAGGATACCACCAGGAGCCCTCATCCATGGCAAATAACCAGCTCTTCCCTGGTGCCACATAGCCTTTGGGCTGCCAACAAACATTCATTGTCGGATTTTTAAATGTTTTGCTAAATGCTTTTTTAAAAAACTCATTTTATTCACAGTCACTTTACAGCTGGTGGCTGCTAATTGTCATCTGTTAGATTGGGCATCAGAATGTGTCATCAGAAACTCTGTCCATCTGTCCTGGGCTCTATCAGGCTTCCTTATGCTTCCCATCCCAACCGCTTCCTTCCTGCTCTCCCCAGGGCAGCCCTTGCAGAGCCAGGCTTCTCAGGGAGGGGAGGATGGGTTCTTATTCATGGGGTTCCATTGGTTTCCAAGTGTAAACAGACCCCTGATTTCAAAATAAAAGCCTGAAGACATGGGTCCTGGTATGGCTGTGTCAGCCTGAAACATCAAATTCTTTTTTTACAGAGGTTGTTACAAAGAAATTATTACATGAATACAGTAACAGACATACAGACACACCTGGCCCCTGAGCCTACTCCTAGCCTTCATGAGGTGTTAATAGCTTCTACCTCTGAGTGATAAGATTATTTTCTTCATTTTGTTGGATCTGTGTTTGGTAATGTTTCCATACGAAACACTATCATTTTTGCAATAAGAAATAAAAATAATAAAAGCTGTCTGTAAGAGGAAATAGTAAGGCCTGGCTTGCCTATCTAAAAGTGCTGTACCAAGAAGAAAACAAAGAGACATCTATAATTATCTTCATCAAGTGAAGCCCAGACAAATGTAAAGAATTACTGCTATCCTTGCTAACCATGCTAAATGCTTTAGGTGCCTTGAATAGAATTTTATCATAACATTGTTCTTTTCCTTTCCTTTCATTCTTCCTTATTCACTCCTTGCTAAGTACTTGGCCAAGAACAAAAGCACCCCAAGGTATTGTTCTGCCCAGCTAGGATTCACAACTGAAAAGCTTCCAGGCAAAGAGGGATCACAAATAAATCTCAAAGGCCACAGTCTCCATCTCTTCGTTCACCATTAAGAATCTAGCATCAGGGCATTCATGAATACACCTAGAATCTGTCCTGGTTTCTCAAAATCAAGAAATAGCATTTCCCATCTCACATGTGCTACTATGCCACACCTCTTCTTGCTTCTTTCATCCACTGACTCATTTGGTATTTTTTCCAGTCTTGTCTATTCCGACCACAATGCTGGGTCCTAGAAATACAAGATGACAGGGTAGATATGTTTCTTGTCTTTATAGAGCTTCATTCTGGCAGACGAGAACAATATTGATCAATCACCTAGCTATTTAAGCTCATTTTGGGGAAAAGATACAAAAATTAAGTATAAGAGGTTACCAGAGTATATATCAGGGAATTCTGATGTAGTCAAGGGATCTGAAAAGAGTGACATTTGGGCTGAGAAATGGGTAAAAGGAATTAGGAATTAACAGGTCAAAGCAAAGAAAAGAAAGAATATTCCAACAAGAAAAACAGCTCATAATTTATTTTACATATGGGAGAGGGGATACTGGGAGGACTGAACCCAGGTTCTTCCCACTTGGCTATATCTGCAGTCTTTTGTTATTTTTTATTTTGAGACATGCTGTCACTAAGTAGCTAAACTGCCCAGACTGGACTCGAACTTACAATCCCCCTGTCTCAGCCCCCCAGACTGCTGAGATTACAGGTGTGTACCACCATGGCTGGCTCCATAACACATTTTCTTAAATGCAATTTGTGTAATACAGTAAATGAAAATGGCAAGCTAGAGAGCCAGGAGGCTGCACAGGGAGACCAAGCCAAAGCACTCAGGCCTCAGAAGCCAAGTGAGGCTCTTGGTCTTAAGGCCATGGTGTTAAGCCATGGATGGGTTTGTAGCAGGAAGATGGCATTTAGGCTGTGTGTGTGTGTGTGTGTGTGTGTAACATTACTGTGGCCTTTGTGTAAGGAATGTATCTGAGAGATAATAGGTGGCAAACTACCACTCATTCACAAATCCTTCTCCCCTTCATCCTAAGCACATCTTCAACCAACTACACCCTCCATTTTCCATCCTCTCATGTAGCCAGGTGTGGAATGAAATAAAGCCTGGCCACCACGTGTAAGCATACACAGCGTGTTCAGCGTCCTTTCCTTGTTTACAAGGGGAGTGCTTGCCTGAGGCTTCCTCTAGCCTTTTCTGTGGGCTGGAATACGGAGGTAGCTATGACCCAGCATCAACCAAGGGGATGAGGACAACATCCTCAGAACTGGAAGAGCAACACACAGAAACCAGCCCAGCCCCAGAGACTTCCTGGCACAGACCTGCTCGATTATCACTCTGGATTGTTTCACAAGAGAGAAGGTCTCCTTTGAGCCACTTCATTTTGGGGTCTCTATTACAGCAGCTTAATCTTCACTCTAACTAAAATGTGAACATCCAGTAAATTCTTTAGTTGTAAGCAATAGAATTTCACTCAAGTTAACTTAAAGAGAAAGATAAAAGTATATATAAGATGGCTATGGGCTAGGATCCAGAACAAAAGAAAAATGTAAAGAACCTGGTTTGGAGGTAAAAATAAACGAAGTCTCTTCTGGTATTGACAATGGGACAAATAGCTAATCATTTTCACTTTTTTTACATTGTCCTCCAAATTCACTTCTTTCTTTCTTTCTTTTTCTTTCTTTTTTTTTTTTTGGTACTGAGGATCGAACTCAGGACCTTACACTTGTGAGGCAGGCGATGGAACCACTGAGCTAAACCCCCGGCCCTTATCCTCCAAATTCAAATTCCTAAGACAGACAATCTGAATGTCTAGCATAGGTCACGTGTCTAACTCTGGACCAGCTGAGGAGGGTGGAGAGAGTGGGGAGAATCTCCTTTGATATTTCCACTAAGTCAAATCTAAAGGAAATGGATAGTTCCCCCTGAAAAAAAATAATGGCGCTAAAACAGAAATGAATGTCTAACCCAAGAGAGCAAGAGTGAATATGGAGCAAACTGTTAGGAAGCTACTGCAAAAGTCCAGGCAAGCACTGATGTTGTCTT